CACCTCCGCACCTGAGTATTTTCCACACTGCGCCTCCTCTGAGCCTCGGTGTGCTGTTATTTTTCCTTCTAGTTAAAGAGTCTCTCCTCAGCCAGCCTTCCTGTGGTTCTGGGTGATGTCCGTTCCGTCTTTTAGTTGTATTTTTGAAGTGGTTGTTTGTGGCAGCAGTCTCCGGTGTTTACCTATGCCACCATCTTGGTCTCCTCAAAGCTGGATTTCCTGTATCTGTCTTAATTTGTGTGACTGATGGTACTTAGGATAATTCCTTCAAGATCCATTCGTGTTGATGGCAAATGGTAGGATTTTTTTTGTGGCTGAATAATATTCCAGTGTGTGTGTGTGTGTGACATTTTTATCCATTAATTCATTATGGACACTACTAGGTTGTTTCCAACTCTTGGCTACTGTAAAAAATGTTGCAATGAACATGAGGGTACAGACATCTTTCAAATTAGTGTTTTATTTCCTTTGGATAAAACCCAAAAGTGGTATGGCTGGATCAGACATTTTTAAAAAATGATAATTTTAATATCTTAAGGAAACTCCATATTGGTCCCCGTAGTGGCTGCACCAATTTACAATCCCACCAACAGTGCATAGGGGTTCTTCTTCACATCCTCACCAACACTTGAGATCTTTTGTGTTTTTTATAGTCGCCATTCTAGGAGGGGTGAGATCATATCTCTTGGGTTTGATTTGCATTTCCCTGGTGACTCATGTCAGGGATCATTTCTGATATAAAGTCTGGTCCTAGGAAGAGGAAAGCAAGGAGTACATGATCCAGGGTAAAAGCTTGCAGATCCCCTACTGTAAATCTTCAGCCTCAGGGCATGGAGGGTGCACTACATGGAAATCAGACAGTTTTCCACTTGACCACCCTCCAGCTCTCGCAGGCCTGGTTCCTCGCCTGTAAAACGGATGTGCACACCCATCTCCTGGGTCAACCCTGGACTGAGGAGTGTGGAGGTGGAATGTCTACACCTGCGGAACCTGAAGGAATGCAGGGCTGACCTGCAGGTGCTGCTCCTCCTAGGCCCAGGGCCAGGTTTATGCCCATTTCTTCTGCTGCTACAGGTTCACCAGGAGCTAAAGGGAGAATAGAGATGTTGGATGTCCCCAAAGGAGACAATGGATCTGCTGGAGAACCTGGACCGAAGGGAGACTCGGGACTACGTGGTGAGCAGTGGGCGTGGACTGCAATGCCTGCCACTAGGCCATGCGGGAGGATGCACATACCCATCCCAGGAAGGAGGGGGCCCTGTGGGTGGTCCTGGGTTCACACAGGGAAGGCTGTAATACTGCTGGGCGGCGTCTGTAGGATGGTGCTGTTCTCTGACCTCTATGACTGCTCTCACCTTCTCACGCTCTCCCCCTTCTGAGAAGACTCAGTGCACTGACTGGCTGGTCCTTTTCCCAGGACCTCCGGGACCAGCAGGTGTGCGCGGGCCGGCTGGAGCAGAGGGTCCCTCAGGAATGCAGGAGAATGTAGGACCCCAAGATGAACCAGACCCCAAAGGAGAGCCTGGGCCCAAAGGTAGGAGGTTGGTGTGTGGAGGTCCAGAAGGGAGAGGGAGGAGTGAACAGTGGCAACCCATGATGTGACCTAAGGATGCTCAGTGTGCCAGGGAAGCCAGGCCATCACCACTGGCAGGCCCTGCTGTGGCCCCTGCCCTCCAAGCCCCCACATCTGGAGGAGTCCAGACAGGGGGGTGCACAGCACCCCAGTTCTCCTTCTCCACATGGAGCTGAGGAAATCATCCAGTCTGCAGACACTCTCAGCAGCCTTTGTCCCAATCTGTTCCTTCCTCAGGAGAAGTGGGTGCCCCAGGAATGCAGGGCTCTGCAGGGACAAGAGGCCCCACAGGTCTCAAAGGAGAGAAAGGTGCCCCGGGTGAGCGCGGAGCCCCTGGGAATACAGGGCCAGCAGGTGAGTGATGGGAAAAGCGGGGGTGGGCCTTCAGTCCTCCTGTGTCCACCTGAAGCTGCGGATACCTGTCTCTCCCCCATCACCCCACCAGCTCAGAGCTACAACAGTGGGCCTTGGGGAGTCGTGCAAGGAGGCACCTCGCTGGCCTTGAGCTCTGAAACTGGGGAGGGAGCGGTGTGAGCAGCAGGGGCAGTCTGCATCCTTGGAAGGCCGGGTGCTGGGTGATGGGTCAGTAGTGTACAGAGAGTGTGTGTGGCTGGCTTTGGGCCAGAATGTACGTGGGAGGGTGTATTGCTGGACAATAGCACCGTCCATATGCTGGGAGGGTGAAGATGCGGGAAAATGTGTGCCGAGCTCACCCACCTCTTCTTGTCTGATCTCAGGGCCTGCAGGACCCCGGGATATACTGGGACCTCCAGGCGCCAGGGGCCCCCTAGGACTGAAGGGGGTCAGAATTGCTCCTGGGTACAGAGGAGAAAAGAGAGAGAGTGGGCTTCCAGGTAAGGTCGCCTTCCTTAGCTCTGGGAGCTCCACTAGGGTGCAGAGGGAGGAGGGCCCTCTAGGTCAGTGGTTAGCTCATTGTGGGGCGGAGTGGTGTGTGAAAGCAGGAAAGGCTGTTGGACTGATGAAATCTGGAAGATGAGGCTCTGGCTTAGACTTAATACACGGTGGAGGGCAAGCCTTAGCAGATTCCCATGTGATCACTAAGACAGCTCAGCTCTCTTCCCAGGTCATCAGAGAGCTTTGAGTAACAAATAACCCAGGGATGTGGAGTACTTCAGGGACATGCAATGCCCTCTCTCCCCCAGGGATGTGCTCCCAGACTCTCAGAATTTGCTGTGAAATGCCACCTGGATCAGAGTTAGTGGGGTCCCAGGACCTGCTCAGGGCACAGTGTGCTCACTACAGAGCCTCTGGGACCTGTGGGCAGCAGGGGCCAGCTGTGTCAGCAGCTGTGGCTTCTGGAGGCCCAGCCCCTTCCCCTTCCCCCAGGAAAGCCTGTCACTGAGCACCCTTCCCTTGGGACCCGGACTCTGAGCCGATCCCTGGCTGTGAGGGACTGGTCTTCACTGGGCCTCTCTCTCCTGCAGACATGGCTGCTCTGAGGCAGCAGTTGGAGGCCTTGCAGGGGCAGCTAAGAAGCCTTCAGGGAGCCTTCCTTCAGTATAAGAAAGGTAAGTTCCTGGACCTGGATCTGAACCTCAGCCAGTCGCTGAGGGCAGGCCCCAGGCGAGGTCTGTGTTTGGGTTTGGAGTTGGCTGGGCCTGATGCATACCTGGTTCTAGGATTGGGGGCTCTAGGGTGGTAGAGGGTTTGGATGACAGGCTAGACCTGGGACTGGGGCAGGACCTGGGGCTAAGGGGAGGGTGGGGCAGAGCAGTGCAGCCACATGTTCCAGGAGTTGGAAGCAGATGCAAGGGACATGGAACAGGGTGTGGCCCCTACACCAGCTCAGTGGGCTGGCGCCTCATGGTCAAGGCTACCAGGCTCCAGCCCCTAATATCACAGCCACCTGTGACCCGACCCAGATCAATGCCCCAAGCCCAGTGCAGTTCATACCTTCCCTCCTGCTAACCTGTGCTGGTCCCTGGACACCCCACTACCCAGGATGCATTTCTTATCTCTATGGCTCTGGGGGTGCAACCCCCTCAAGATGTTGCTGCCCAGTCCACAGCAGCAGTGACTCCAGACACTGTCATGAGAGTTGGGGTTGGGAAGCTGTGCAAGGGTTCACAGCTGTGAGGGTCTGACCTTGGCATGTGGCCATTGAGAGTCTCACCTGAGACAGGCCCTGGTTCCGGCAGGGGGGAGGCTGCCTCTGGGCCCTGCCCAGTGCTGGGCTCTCCCGCTCCTCCCAAGGTGTTCATGGTGGAGACTCTCCCCTAACATGGGTGCTGAGGAGTCAGAGGCTCCAGCAGCACAGCCCAGTGCCTGTGCCTGTGGGCATCTCCACCTCAGTACCTAATTTCCCCCCTCCTCCCCGCTTTCCCCATGTCAGCTTTGAGCTCAAATCATTCAGCAAATCTCATTGATCCAAAGAGGAGTTTCTGAAGGAGGAGAGCACACAGTGGTGAGACATAGGGTTGGTTCTTACATACCTAAGGCCGCTGAGTACACACATACCAAGGGTGAGGTTTCAAGCATTTGGTATGTCTCCCTTTCTCCACAAACATGCATTTGCACTCTCTCCCTCACATGCACACTGATGCAAACAAAGGAAAATGCGTGATATACACCTGACACACGTGTGTGTATTACACATATGCCATCACTCACCTCACGTCATCTACACCCACGAACACACACGCATATTCCCACATACCCAGGTGGGCCTTCAGTGCTCCCATGTTCCTTCAGATGGACACGTGGCCATGTTCATGTATGCACACACAGACCCACCCGGGTGCATGTAGTGAATGGCAGATGAACTCCTGTCCAGGGCTGCTCTGGGTGCCCTCCTGAGCCTGTGGAGAGTCTGGCCCCTGAACCCTAGTGGAAGGGTCACAGTGGGTCGGGGCGCAGCCTGGGCTCCTCACCAGCCCTTTGGGGCTGGAGCACAGCCCTCTCAGGAGCCCTGAAGGCTTCTATGCACGAACCCAGAAGTGAAAGGGATGGAAAATGAGCCCGGCCAGCGTGGCCCAGTGGTTGAGCGTTGGCTTATCAACCAGGAGATCATGGTTTGATCCCTGGTCAGGGCATGTTCCTGGGCTGTGGGCTTGATCCCCAGTAGGGGGTGTGCAGGAGGCAGCCAATCAATGATTCTCTGTCATCATTGATGTTTCTATTTCTCTCTCTCCTTCTCCCTTCCTCTCTGAAATCAATAA